TTTGCTCTCTGTTGCAGCAAGGGAGTCCAGTCAACAGTGGTCGACCGACCATCATCAGTGGCCGACTGGCCCCCTGTCGGCCACCAATGACAGAACAGAATTGGTCTGGAAAAGCAAATTAGTGCAAGTGTCCTATTGAGTAACAGAGGCAGTGTGTTCCTTTGGCAGAGCAGAGTTATTCTGGAAGTGAGCAAAAGTGTATGTGTTCTATTGCGCAACAGAGGCTCTCCGGAAGCAAAATGGTGGTCTTTTCAGGTGGAAACCGAGCATGTACATGAATATCCCTCGTTTCTCGAGGCGGAATAGTTAGCTTAATTTTTAGATTACTTAATTCTTTTAATTGCACTTGTGTTGTAATTATTTAATTAGTTAATTAGCTAGCTAGTTAGTTAATTCATTTGTTGTAATAATTAGTTAAGTAGCTCAGCTAGTTTATTCATTTCGGTTTGTAATAATTAGCTCAATTAGCTTTAGCTTTAGTTAGTTAGTTAATTAGTTTAGTTTATTCATTTGGACTCTCCTTTGTGAGAGCACAATTTTGTAATAATGTGTATGTCTTCCAACCCCACATCTTTCTCCTTTTTATTTACCAGCTTATGATGGTTAGTTTAGGAGTATCACGTTTTGTTTAGCATACTTCATGTTTGCATCCATTTGTATTACATGCACCAAGGCTCGGTTCATCATTCTAACTACATTGTTAGTTTAATACTTCTTTGAATGCGTGCTTAGACCGCATGCTATTAAATTGACTCATATGCTATATTAGTAGTCGAGCCTATTAATTGCATATTGCATGTGTTGCATTAGTCATCTTGTATAGTTAGGAATCATGCATTATTTTAACTTTATTATCTTTTTTGGCTTGGAGTACTAGGTAAGCCTTTTTTTGCTTTACCATATCGCATGCATGTGATTGTTTCCATGTTTAGCATGCTTGCCATGAGGCTAATTGCTTAAATGATAAACTGCTTGAATGCCTGTGGATGAAGGCTTGTTAATTGAATTGGAATAATTTGAGTAATGTTTATATGCGATCACTTTTTCAAGTGGTACATATTTCAAAACAATTTTCAAAACTAACATGAATCAAGTGTTCCAATTCTTGCAAGTTAGTCTATATTTATGTGTGTGCGCATCACATAGTAATGCTAGCCTAATAAACTGGAACAAGAGCATATAATATACATAAGATTCATATCATGATTAGTAGAGGCCGATTTTTGATCGGGCGAGCGGGGGTGCTCAAATGTATTCATGACCTTCCCCTTTCGTTCCTAAGTTCTCAAGTCGAGACAATCTTGGTGATGATGGACACTTGGCATTTGGCACAAGTCATGGGTTTCCTAAATTTTTTCAAAATAAAATATTTAGGTGGCGACTCTGTATCTGGCGAAGCAGTCCATTTTTGACAATTTGATTTAAAATTGATTTTCCAAAAGATTTGCCGGATTTGGACTCTTTGGTGTTTATCAATTTCACATTGCACTTGTGTGATTAGATTCAAAACCACAGGAAGTCTGAACTGTAGGGCTTATTTCGAACCTCCGAAAGGGGGCGTGAAAAAGTCGAGCTACATATGCACATTCACAAATCTAATCCTGAATTTATAGTATATGTTACGTGATAAGGAAATATGATGAACATAAACAAATAAGATAATGCTCTAATGGCTACAATTTTTCAAGACGATACTTGGTTACAACAAAAGTGAGTTTTACAGTCAATACAAATAAAGTCCTAGGCTTGTATAAAAATAATTACAACAATTAAACAAAATGAAGCTCTTGCTTCAAGTGCTCTTAAGCTATTGCCTTGGCGCAGATGTATCATTAGCACTTGAAAATGGTTTTCTATATAGGGTAAGCCAAAACCCAGTAGAGATACTACAGCATAGTTTATGAATCTTAACAAAGTCATAAGGTGAATGTATATGCAATACTCGTGACAAACATTTATATCTCTTTTCCAAAATCATGCAATGCCAGGTTTATATCACAATTCATAAAATGTTTCCTTTTCAATAGAAAGAAGGACTATGAATACAACTCTGTGAATCTCTAGGTACGGGTCTGCAAGTAGACTATATAAGTACTACCAATTTGTCATTTTTATCGGTATTAACTGGAAGGCTCGACACCTATCTGTCCTATTTTTTGGTCTTTCACCAAGGACACACATGCCAACTTAATATCGTAACTACACCCCCTACCCAGATTCACCAAGTATTCACGTATTTTTCTCAAAACAATAAACATTTTCAATGTATTAATATGCAACAATGCACAATGCATATGGATGAGAAAATAGTTTCAATTCTCGTAGTTCTCATGCAATTTCTACAACAATCATAGTTATTCTCCACCGATAGCCCAAAACAAATATCTCTAAAGAGATAAATAGATTTTTCTTGAAGATAAACTTTCTCAAATTTCAAGATATGAGTGATAATACATATCCAATTTCATCATCTTTATCAATACCAACCCAATTTCACAATTCTAACATCAATTCCATTATCCTTTCAAAATCAACATTTAAAATCTTTAGGGCAAAACTCTCTTTTCTTTATGAATCAATCCCGAGGATAATAACACATCATTTTATCACAACTCATCCTCATTTACAATCCCACAACCATTTTCAAGAATCCATTTGAAAACCCCTCTTTTGATTTTTAATCCAAAATCCTAGATTTGTCCAAAAATCCCCAAATCTCAATATCATTTTAGAAATTGCAAATAACTAAGTTAAAAATCATAAGAAAGTGTGGAGAGTCCCTACCTTGAAGCTAGAAAGCAAGAGAGAGAGTGATAGAACCTTAACAACGCCGAAACCCAACTTTGTTCCGATCAAAAGAAAGCTCTCGGAGTGCTCTACCTTTTTAAGAAAGGGACTAGGGTGGAGAAACCAACGGATCTAGGTGTATTTGTAAAGAGAATGTGAGTTTTAGAGAAGAAAAGTCTCAACTTAGGGTTTTGAAATGTTTAGAGAGAGAGAGAGAGATGAAAAAGTGAGCAAAAAATGTGACTTTACGGACTGATATATGTGCAGACCACTCGAACCCAAGAAGTGTCACTCAAATGACCAAACGCAATAAGTGGGACTGCTAGAGCGAAGAATACAAACTCCCAGGAGTTTTGTAGATAGAAGACTACTGCTCAAGATTAAGGAGTACCGCTCAAGCGAACACCGCTTGAGTGCAAGGAGTACCGCTCAAGCGAATAATGCCAACTCCTTGTATCTTTGCAGGCCTGCAAAAGTAAGGAGAGTTCTCAAAGACCGCTCGAGCGCAAGAAGTGTCGCTCTAGCGAAGAAGCCAAAATTTGGGCGGGAACCATTTTGAAAAAACTAACTCCCGACCTGTTCCAAACGTAACCAAGACACTCCAATAACCAAACTCAATGACGAATAAAGAGAAATAAGACATGAACAATCATATAAGACAATAAAACCCGAATCCAGAACATTTAATGGGTGGGTCTAAACCAAAATCGCTATATATATTGCTTGATCTTTTGGCAAGTTGTGTTTATGTTGTGAATCATCACAAAATTCATAAAAATTGTGGTTTCAAACAGAATTGAATAGTATTTTCATGGTTCGGTTTGGTTCTAAATTTTATGGAATTGTATATGGTTGTTTGATTTTATTTTCCTTAAAAACCAAACAATGTTCACCTATACTCAATTAACATCAAGTGAAAATTTTAATTTTGTCTTAATGCACACCACTATTTTTTTAAATTATACCAAATTACTCTTTTCTCCATCTCCAACAAATCCTAACCTTGACTGCTACATCATTAGCAACTTGGTGATACTTCATTCTCCACCCATTGTCTTCGGTGACCCCTCCAACCCTCATTTCCTTATGACAAATCTCCCTCAATTCCGTTAGTCCTTACTGTCACCTTCCTCCCACACCTCTGTTGCTTATTGTTGCAATGCCCACCCTTCACAGCCCCGTCGTTACGATCTTTACACCATCTGACAATTGTGCTGCCCACCCCTAACAACTTCATTGCAATCCAACGATAGCGCTTCCAATGAGAATGTGAGACAGAGAGGCCGCGAAGATAAGAGTGACCACATGGGAGATAAGGGGTGGATATTGATGTAGATGTGTAGATGAATGAAAAGAATCAATAGAGAATAAAATAATATGAAGGTAAAGGAATAGCAGGTAGCGGTAACCGACAATAGGTAGTGATGACTAGAGTTAGGGATAGTGTGGTGGTTGGTGGTGATGGTGGTATGGATTGATAAATTGAATGGCTTTTATAAGGGATAAAAATGTAATTTGATGAAAGGCAAAAAATGTAATAAAAAAATTTAAGAAAATGATATGTACTAAGAGAATTGACGGCGTGTAAAAAGAATATCCCTTATTGGTGAATTGCTAAATACCTTACGTAACTTTTTGGATTTATTGGTGATAAGTCTATTTCTATGAGAATATAGCATTAGGTTTAATAATTAATCTTCTTTTTTTTGTGTGATAAATACATAATTAATGAAATTGTTTGGTAATAATGACATTATTATTTTGAACATTTTTATGTTTTTCATTACTATGCTACTAGACTATAGTTTATTGGTCGTGAAAAAGTAGTCAGAAAAGTTACTAACAGTTCCTGACGACAGTGACCGGCGGTGGCAGTGATATGAATAAATAAGCAAATTAAGTGGGTAGATAAGTAACATGTGAACAAATACGGGAAAATGCATAGACAGATAGATGAAATAGGCAAATAGGTATACAAATAGGTGGTGTGGAGAAATATGTGGATAATAGATAGATAAATATAGGAGAAATTACAAATCAGTGTACCTTTTCAAAAAAGGTACTCGGTTTAAAAATCCAAATTTTAATTTTCTTTGTCTAAAAATCCAAGTATTGAAATGTTTTATCCAAAAGGACAAGCCTAAATGAAATGACCAAAATACCTTTCTTATATATACACCATACGATCTCAAACCTCTCATTTACTCAGATTTCTCTCTCTCTCTCTCTCTCTTTTCTGCCAACTGTCCCAAATCTTTTCTCATTCGAATTTCTGCCTCCCTCCTCAACCTTACTCACCTCTGTCGTCATCATCGTGGTTGACTGCTAGCACCCTAATCCCGTCAACCTCTGCTACTGACGTCCAATTTGCCGCGCAGCCACTACTGTCCATTCCTCTACCACGCAAATCTGGTACCGACATCAAACTCATCTTTGCCACGTTGATCAGACTAATCACGTGATCCGGTGTTGTCGCTGCCTACTGTCACCGTCGGATGCAGTCGCCTCTATTTTCGATGGTCTCTCTTCTCTTCTCTTTCTCTTATCTCTCTCTCTCTTCATCCTTTGGTTCGTGCACAGATCTGAGTTGAAACCCTAGGGTTTCTCTTCTCTCTCTCTCTCTCTCTCTTCCACCAGTGGCATATTTATATTGGAGCACCTAGGTCGAAACCCTAAGCGTGCACAAATCTAAGTTGAAACCTTAGATTTATTTATTTTTTTTGGTGGATCTGAGTTTTGATCCTGTACTGCTTTAGATAAGAAGATAGAGTTCACAACTATTTTTGCATAGTTAATAATATTACAACCTATTAATTTACAGAATCTACATATTTATACATTAAAAAGCACAAATTTTTGTGAAGAAAACTATTCGTCAATTAATAATAGAGAAAAGTTACTTGAAACTATGACTTTTTTTGTTATAAAGAAAAGTTACTTTAGATTCTATATATGTATATTGGTAGTTGTTGGTTGATGATGATGATGATGATGACGTCTTCTTGTTGATGTTGTTGATGATGTGTTGATGTTGTTGATAATGAAACATATTGCAGATTCATATGTTTGGTTTGAACAGATAGTGGGTGGTTTTTTGGCGAGATATAGATTTTTAACAGATGGATTTGTTATTGTTGTTCTTTGATTTTCAACAGATAGGTTTGTTATTGTTCTTGAATAGACAATAAAATTGTGACAAATAGATTTAAACAGATAAAATTTAGATAGGTACTTGAACAGACAAAGGGAAAAAAAAAATTGAATAGATAATCAAAAAATTTGAACATATAGATATATATTTTGAACAGATAGGAAAAAAATTCTACAGATAGACATATATTTGTACAGATAGTCAAAAGAAAATTAACAGTTAAATCCAGGGGTAAAATTGAAAATAATTAATGTCCTCCAAAACCAATAAAAAGACTTTTTACAAATGGTGGACCTATCACCAACAAAAAAATCCATTATACTTAATACCTTAGACCATTCTTAGATTGGATTTATCACCAATTTTTTCTTCAAAGAATGATTACAGATTCATAGAAAAATTTATGATTTTAATTATTAATATTTATAAAAGTTTATGATGATTTATAATTATTTTTTGAAACTTCACTCATTTGATATTTTCTCATAAATATATATAGGTAATGGATAATATATAGTCTTTTAAATTATTTCATGCTTTTGTACCAAAATAATAGAGATCGAGACTATTGTCCCAAAAGTTTTAAAATTAAAGTTATGGCCCAATACCTTTTTTGAGTGTCCCATGGGGTGTGTTGTGTTCCACTCATTCTCCTACAAACGTACAACTACTGATCTTTCTCTCGACATATCTTTCTCTGTACAGCACAGGGGTGTGATGGTCAAGGAAGGTGTGTACTTTTTGTCTTTTAACATTAATTTGTTTGGGGATACCTTCATAATTAAAAATAAGATAAAAATTATGCAAATTAAGAAAAATTATGATGTGCAAATAAAATTTTCTAAATTATTGGGAGCTTTAGGAGTTGTTTGGGAATATACTATTTCAATAACTTTTTAACTTTTTTTTTTAAAATAGTGAAAAAAAAACTAATGTTTGAAAATAATTTTTTGACTTTTTAAGAAAAAATGTGATAGTTTGAGATAATCTAAATAAGTGTATTTTTTTGACTTTTTACGAAAAGATGTAAAGAAAAATAAAGAGGTGATGTGATGAAAAAAAGATAAAAAGATGAATTATTTAGGAGATGTCAAACCAAGTGAACCGTTTTGGATATGTTATATAAGTGTATTTTGTTGAATTTTTAGTTACAAAAATATAGAAAAAAGATATATATTTGGGATAACTTTTTGACTTTTTACGAAAAGATGTGTAATAAAATATTATAGTAAAATCAAAATGACAATTTTACCCTTATTGACTTTGAATTTTTTGATTTTTTAGTAGTTGAATTCAAAGGATAAAATAATAATTTTGCCTTCTAAGTTTCCCTTATAAGCATCTCTCAAATAGTACGAATTTTTTGACTTTTTGATTTTAGATTATCTCAAACAAATAGAAATGTTATTATTTGTCCTTTGAGGTGTCATATCAACTTTTGGAGGTGTTATGTCAATCTAAACAAGGGATAATTTGGTAATTTTGCATATAAAAAGTTTCCAAGGCAAGCATGCAAGAGATAGGATAAAAAAAGTTATTTTTTTTTTTACTTGTCTGTAATTTTTTAATTTTTTAGTTATTATAAATTATACCAATCAAAGCCTTTGTTATTATTATTATTATTATTATTATTATTATTATTTTGGTACTAGTGGGATATTGGCTAGCTAAAAAATTAGGTTAACACAAATGGATGTTGGCTACTTTTCTATTCTATAAGTTCGAACCTCAAACTTTTATCTAGAAATTTAGAGATACAACTACTTGAATTATAAATGGTGAGAGTTAGCCATAAGTGGCGATCATAATTGGTGTTAGATCATCGTCAAAAATAGCAAATGGTCAGGGGTGATCGGTGTGGTGAGGGATTGTAATGTGTGTGACTTATAATTTATAGTATTTCTACAATGATGAATTATTAAAATTCAAATTCTTGAAATACATTTAAAAAATATTATCATGTATAAAAATAGTAAATTATTAATTTTTATAACTATTTAAGGCATTTCAATCTAATTACAAGGTTTGGATTGGTTTAAATTTGATTTACCCTTTTTGGACTTTTTAGTTACAAAAATATAGAAAAAAGATATATATTTGGGATAACTTTTTGACTTTTCATTTTATGAAAAGATGTGTAATAAAATATTATAGTAAAATTAAAATGACAAGTTTACCCTTATTGATTTTGAATTTTTTGACTTTTTAGTAGTTGAGTTCAAAGGATAAAATAATAATTTTGCCTTCTAAATTTCCCTTACAAGCATCTCTCAAATAGTATGAATTTTTTTACTTTTTGATTTTAGATTATCTCAAACAAATAGAAATGTTATTATTTCTCCTTTGAGTGTCATATCAACTTTTGGAGGTGTTATGTCAATCTAAACAAGGGATAATTTAGTAATTTTGCATATAAAAAGTTTCCAAGGCAAGCATGCAAGAGGTAGGATAAAAAAAGTTATTTTTTTTAACTTGTCGGTAATTTTTTAAGTTTTTAGTTATTGTAAATTATGCCAATCAAAGCCATTGTTATTATTATTATCATTATTATTATTATTTTGGTACTAGTGGGATATTGGCTAGCTAAAAAATTAGGTTAACACAAATGGATGTTGGCTACTTTTCTATTCTATAAGTTCGAACCTCAAACTTTTATCTAGAAATTTAGAGATACAACTACTTGAATTATAAATGGTGAGAGTTAGCCATAAGTGGCGATCATAATTGGTGTTAGATCATCGTCAAAAATAGCAAATGGTCAGGGGTGATCGGTGTGGTGAGGGATTGTAATGTGTGTGACTTATAATTTATAGTATTTCTACAATGATGAATTATTAAAATTCAAATTCTTGAAATACATTTAAAAAATATTATCATGTATAAAAATAGTAAATTATTAATTTTTATAACTATTTAAGGCATTTCAATCTAATTACAAGGTTTGGATTGGTTTAAATTTGATTTACCCTTTTTGGGAATTATGATTTTTAATTAAAAAATCATTATGAGATGTTACATTACTTTTGTCTGGTTGCACATTTTTGTATAAAATATTAAAAGATTAATTAGAATAATCAATTTCTTTTTATTTTTTTCATCAAAAAGAAAATATTCAATTTCCAAACTAACTTGCTTAATAATTTTTATTGGGTTAGGTTTGTTTTCAGTCTACTTTGTAGATTGGACAGTGCTATTAGGCTGTAGGGTTTATCACGGATTTTGTTTGGATAATTCGAATTGTTCAATGTGTACAGCTCGTCGAATATTTTATCTTTATAAAATATCACATTGTTCGAATATTGATAGCTACTTGATTGAATTAGATTTTTGTTAATAATTTATTTTGAAAATTATATTTATCATTGATAGAAATCTGATCCGATCAAATAACCATCGATATTCAGTCAATGTAAAGTTTTGCAAAGATAAAATATTCAATAAACTTTACATATTAAATAATTTAGATTATCGAAATAAAATTCATAATAAACTTTAATAGATTTAACAATACACTCCAATACGATCTTGAAAAGAATCCTGACCTTATTTTGTTGCCCCATTACAGAAATCCTGGGTCGGCCCGGACGACACAGGCACAGCCCATCCTTTTAGCCATTTTAGAAGAAACCAAACAGAGCGGGGCTTAGCAGCATAGTAGCTAGCCAGACAGAGCACAAAAAGCATGGCGGCACTGTTATCCACAGCAATTCCACCTTCCACAAAGACTACTCAGACCCTGAAAATGTCTAACAGCGGTGCTTTTGGAGGAAATCCATCACCTACACATGCTCTATTTTCTGGTCAGTTCAATTTTCCCTTCACTTTCTCGCACTTTCCAACTGTTGTACTCGAAACCAACTTCATCTCTTTTTCTCACAGGCTTTACTAAGAAAAATAACAAGAAATGTTCATTTCTACGTTTGTCAGTAAAGGGTAGTGAATCAACAACCCAAACAAAGCACAAGAATCCCGGAAAAGCCCAAAGAAAAACTGATGGGAAATTGATTTTGAGTGAAGGGAGAGATGAGGATGAGAACCATGGGCTTATTTGCCCTGGCTGTGGAGTTTTTATGCAAGATAAGGACCCAAATCGTCCTGGGTTCTATCAGAAAAGAATGGTTGAAGTGAAACAATTGTTAGAGGATGAGGAGGGTGGTTTTGAAGGGTTTGATGAAGAAGAAGAGGATATTCTGGATGAAATTGATGGCAAATATGAAGAAAGTGACGAGGAAGAAGGTAATTTGAAAATTGAAGATGGTATTGGTTGGGATATGGAGGAATGGGAATCGGATTTTGAAGATGAAGACAATGATTTGAAGGAATTGGATGGGTTTATCCCTGCGGGTGTTGGTTATGGAAACATTACTGAAGAGACTGTTAATAAGGCAAAGAAGAAGAGGGTGTCGAAAGCAGAAAAGAAAAGGTTGGCTAGGGAGGCTGAGAAGGAGAAAGAAGAAGTCACAGTTTGTGCTCGGTGTCATTCATTGAGGAATTATGGGCAGGTCAAGAATGAGACGGTTGAGAATTTGATACCCGATTTTGATTTTGATCGGTTGATCACTACCCGGTTGATGAAACCAACCGGGAATGCTGATGCCACGGTTGTGGTTATGGTTGTTGATTGTGTTGATTTTGATGGCTCATTTCCGAGACGAGCAGCAAAGTCTTTGTTCAAGGCATTGGAAGGAAGCAAAGATGGTTCAAAGCTCAGTAAGAAGCTGCCAAAACTTGTTCTTGTGGCTACAAAGGTTGATCTTCTACCATCTGAAATTTCCCCAACTAGGTTAGATAGATGGGTTCGGCACCGTGCGAAGGCTGGAGGAGCACCTAAGCTGAGTGGGGTTTATTTGGTTAGTGCCCGCAAGGATTTGGGTGTGAGGAACGTGTTGTCATTTGTCAAGGGGTTGGCTGGCCCTCGAGGCAATGTGTGGGTTATTGGGGCTCAGAATGCTGGTAAGTCTACATTAATTAATGCATTTGCTAAGAAAGAAGGGGTAAAAGTCACAAAACTTACAGAAGCTGCAGTTCCTGGGACAACACTTGGGATATTGAGAATTGGAGGAATATTGTCGGCCAAGGCAAAGATGTATGACACCCCAGGGCTCCTTCATCCATATTTGATGTCCATGAGATTAAATAGGGAGGAGCAGAAAATGGTTGAAATAAGAAAGGAGCTACAACCTCGAACTTACAGGATAAAGGCAAGTCGTTTTGTTGACATTCTAAAGCCTGTATTTATTTATTTATTTTTCCTTTCCCCCAATAAGTGCCAATAGAAGGTAACTGATTAAAGCTTCTGATCAATGATTAAAGAACAAAAAATTATTGCTGTCTAGTAGTTAGAAATTTAAATAAAGGCATAATTGTTTCCATTTTCATATGAGTTATTATGCCTTGATCTAAGTTTCCATTTTCATATGAGTTATTATGCCTTGTCATAATTGTTTCAAAATTTATGATGTAAGAATGAGTTTGTGGGCTATGCTTGTTTGCAAGTCAAGGCACTATTTGTTTGTCAATTATCCCCAAATAGTTGACGACCAAATTCTTTTGCACATGTAGTTTTCTCAGACTTTCAGGAGTTATAGTAGCTTGTGACTCTGAGATACAGATTTTGGGAACTTGATTCAAACGGACAAGAATTGGAAGATGTGGGTATATGGGCCCATGTTGACACGTGGCACATATTGGAGAGCTCTTGCTTTACTAAACTAATAATTGCTAGTATAGACATTGCTACAAGTGCCACATTTCACCTTAGGATGATGGACTATGAAGCATGGACACGTCCCTTAGGCTTGCGTACGAGTGTCAGACACGGACATGCATCGGACACGCTGTGGACACGTGTCCGACACTCTCTCTTACGTGTCCCCTTTTTTTTTTGGAATTTTTCTAGTCGAACATGCAGTGGACATGCGATGACACGTTTTAGACACGCAGGTGGATCGGAGAAGCCCTAGACTTGTTGGAGAGGAGAAAGAGAGAGAGCCAGAGATAGATCGAGGGGAAAGAGAGGGAGATAGATAGAGGGAAGAGAGGGACAGATTAAGGGAAGGATAGATCGAGGAAAGAGAGAGACAGATCAAGGAAAGAGAGAACAAACCCTAACCTGTTTCGACTTGGTTTTCTCTGTTCTTTTTCTTCTCTTCGTCTTCTTCTCTGTTCTTCTGTCTTTTTCTTCTTCTCTTCTCTTCTGATTTTGTTTATTTTATCTCTCTCCTCCCTTTTCTGTCTCTTCTGTCTCCCTCCTCCCTTTTCTGTCTCCCTTTCCTTTTCTTCTCTCCTCTCTATTTCCCCTCCCTAATGTGTCTCTTTTCCTTCCTTTCTTTATTTTTTTTTGTTTTATTGTTTATATCAATGTTTTTATTACAATTTATAAAACAAATTATTTTTATTTGAAAAAAAATCAAATTTTATTTAAAAAATTTAGGTAATGTGTTTATTAATTTTATTATTATTGTTAATTTTATTATTATTGTTATTTTATAGGAACCAATGATTTTTTTTTTCAAAAATCTTAGATATATAATAAATAAATAAAATTATATATAAATATATATTAAATGTGTCCCCAGCGTGTCGTATTTTCCCATTTTTTGAAAATCTGCGTGTCCGTGTCCGTGTCCGTGTCTGTGTCCGTGTTGGTGGACATGTGGACCATAGGTGGACCCTTCGAGTGGCTCTCGGGCTTGCCAAGGTCAGAGTTTGGTTGCTTGACTCCTCGATGACCCAACTGAGTTAGCCAAGTACCCTCAGATCATAGCTTATAACAGTTGGCTCGGTTGCCTGGTTCGCCAATAACTCTACCAAGTCTTATCTCTCCACCTTGAGGAAAAAATAATTCCATGGTCAGTTGGAACACCATAGGACTCTTGGACCAGAGGCTAGAAGTCAAGGTTCATCTAAGCTCTCACCGGACCAATCCTAGAGAGAGAGGGGCTTTAACTGAGACCTGACACATTGGAAGCTGTATCATACTTATCTTTGTGCTCTTCGTGACAAGCCTATAAAGGGATGTATTGTACCTACCCTTTGACCCCATATGATACAACCTTTGAGGTCTACAATAGAGGTTGCAGATTTGACCATGCTTGCCATCATTTTGTTTGGCCAAGAGGGTCAAGCCATGTGTACTCATCTGAGCTATCTCCCATCTGGCTTGCCAGCCTATATAAAGGAGATCTTCGTACAAGTCTAAAGGATCATCACAACCATCTCCAACTAGACCTTACTTTTCAGTGCATCATTACCACCCTCTCTCCTCCGCTAGGGGTTGTCCTTGGTTCTCTCCTCTCTTGCCTTTGGTGCACTTTGGCCATATTAATGCCTGCCGTCTTCCTAGAGGACACGTCTCAGCCAACCTAACCCCTCCATTCACACAGAAGACTGTCCATTTAAGAAGCACGGACACTTCTAAGAAGGTGACGTATCCGTGTCGTGTCGTGTTCGTGTTCGTGTCAGATACTGACACTCTTTGGATACTTCCCCGACACGTGTCTGACACTTTTCAAAACGTGTCATATTTTTTAATTTTTTTTAAAGACTCGGACACTGTCTTGACATATATGTATATTGCTTAAACACATAATTCGACACAAGTGAAACTAATTATAAGTTTGAACAAAACAAGTTAAGATATAATAATAAAACAAAAATCATATAAATTTATAGAAATTAGTGTCATATTGTATTTTTTATTATCTTTGAATGATATATTCGTATATATGATATATAATAAATATATAAAATCATATATTTCATGCGTGTCCTCCACGTGTCGTGTCATGTATTTTTTAAAAATTAGCATGTCGTGTGTCCGTATCCATGCTTCTTAGCTGTTCATTAGATTCTCTAGGATTCTTGAATAATATTTGTTTTGCCATTGTTTCAAATGTTTCAAATGCTAGGTTGGACTTTAGCTCTCTATCTTAGGCTGGTGCTCTAAAAATTTGAAGCTACATAAAAAGCTATTACTGTATTTCATCTGTGGTTGGATCCTTTTCTTTTTTGCTGTTATTCTTTGGCTCCTATACTATAACAATACCATGAATAATGAATGTTGCCGTATGCAAATGCCTGAACTTAGACTCTGTTATATAAGTTTGAGCTTGTGATCAGCTGAATGTGAAACTTGTGCTGGATCTAATGTAGCAAAATTGCTTTTTGCAGGCAGGCCAAGCTGTACATGTTGGTGCCTTAATGAGATTAGACCTTAATCATGCTACTGTGGATACAATCTATGTTACTGTTTGGGCATCACCAAATGTCTCTCTTCATTTGGGAAAGATAGAAAATGCTGATGAGTTCTTAAGCAAGCATGCTGGTGTCAGGTTGCAGGTAAATATCCTGTCCAAATTAGATGCAAATATTCATGTATCAGTGTTATGCAAAAGCATCATAATTGTCAATTTTTTCCAATTAGCACATCAATTATCATGGGTTTAGCTACACTCTCAGATGTAGTCTTCTTGCTGGGTTTTGTCCGAAAAAAGGTATTGGGAGTGCCTTGATATTATTATGGCTGTCATTGGAGGAATTGCCAAACATACTAATGGTAAACTGTGCTTGCTTTTGCTGGACAAGCATGTAGGAAATATGTTCCTTAAGGGTGAGGTTTATGATCCTATTGGGTGTTCACAACAATTATTCACTGCAATGAAAAAGGAAAAATCAATAAAATTAATCAAAGCAAAAATGTGAAACAAGTATAGTATTGTATACATGGTTCATTATAAATCCGCTTACGTCCATATGGTGTTGTTATACCCGACCTTTACTAAGAAAGAATGAAAAAATAACTGTTGTAAGTTTAATCCCAAAAAATTCAAGGACAATAAGTTTTGGGTGCTAATTTTTCCTATGTTTGGTATGGCTTGGGTGCAACATGGGAGTGTTGAGGGTGTACTTCATAATTGGAGAAGGGGTAGGGTTGGGAAGAGGCAAAAGAGGGTGTGGACTTTGGCACTTCTGTGTTTGATGTGGATGATTTGGTTGGAGCATAACCAGTTTATTTTTCAGGGTGTGGACGAGTTGATGGTTCGTATGAAAGCTTGATTTTTGGTGATTTTGTATAGTTGGGTGTCGGGAGTTGTATCTCTAGATTTGTTTGCTTTTGTGGACTTTATAGGTACTCTTGGGGTTTAGGTTTGGGTTTTGTTTTGATTTTTTCCTATGTATTCATTAGTAAAGTATCATCTTGATACCTTTCTAGTAATAAAATTGACTTATAAAACTCAGACCTCGAGACCCTTGTAACCCGGTCAACGCACACTTCCAATCTCTAAAGAGCAAATCATTATGCAGATGTGTGTACCAAATAAAAACCTTTCCTGGAGTGATTCCAATAAATCCTAATTGCGGTGGTTCCTTATTGTAAGCCTAAGTGCCAGAAAATGGCCTTTTGGCTTTTGCTTTGTATTTTGAAAATGATTTTTGAGAGTCAAAAAACCTAAAAGTTTGACTCGAAGGATAGGTACTGTTCAAAAGGGATCCAGAGACTGAATTCAGGAACTAAGGTACAAGGTGGAAAGGTGTGAGACACCCACCTTACCCGATCAAAAGGTCAGGCTCTACTCGTTTTCATTGGTTTATTGATTAAATATGTGGGGCCTTTAATGCATGATGACAATAGGGGAAGGGATAAACATGTAGCAAAATAAGTAGGAATTAGGCAATAGAATAAGAATATGCACTCATTTGGATGGAATTCACTCCGTAAACCTTTTTAGAAGGTAAATTCACCTTTTAGCAATAATCTCCATGGCTTGAGCCCAACCTCCGAAAGGGTTTATCTAGGTCCTATCCAACAAAGATGAATTTATTTATATTTATTTGTTGATACTCAAACCAATATATTAATTTGCTAATACTCAAAAACAGTTATTAAAATAAATTCAAGAACAAGTAGTCATATTAGTTAGAGTGCAATCATTCTTTGGATTTTAGTTGTTATTTTCTTTAATATTTGTTTGTTCTCTAAGAAGCACGGACATGACATGGACACGCGGACAAACAAATTTTCAAAAAATGTAGGACACGACATGTTGAAGACACGACTTGTTGAAGACACGTGCAAAACATATAATTTTATATATTTATTATGTATCATATTTTTAAATATTTAATATTTATTTTATGTCAAATATTTAATGTTATCAAATTTATCAACTTAGGTAATGCTATTATAGTAAACAAAATTAAAATAAAATGTCTTTTTTGAAAAAAATGGTCCTTTTGAGCATCCCCAGCATGTCCAGCGCGTGTCAATGTCCAACATGTGTCGGACACTTGTACGTCATCTCCGGAGAGGTGTCTGTGCTTCATAGTTTGTTCTCTTTTCCACTTATCTGGCAGCTATAAACTTGGTGGTTTCCAAGTGCAACATGATGCTACTTTAACACCAGGGTTGGCTTCAGTTGCATTCTCTGAGGAAAAAAGTTATAGGTGGAAAATTTTATTAACTTCGTTGTGTGTTCAGATAGAAGAATAGCACACTTACATGTGAAAGGACCATCTTATTGATGCCATTTTTTCTTCATCTTTCATCAATTTCTCTTGCAAATTTTAGAAGTTGTCATAGGAAAAGAGAAGTTTTTTCTGTTTACAAAATTAATAATATTCAGCATATGAGCCATGGTTTCCCTTTTGGACCTTTGGTATGCAGTAGTAGTCATCTTCTAGCGACCAAATTTTCTCCATTTATTTCGTGGTTGAAGAATCCTATTCATTTAGACTGTTCTGTTGTCAAGTCCAACTTAACCCTTTTTCTGATTCTTCCCACTCCAAATTTGCCAAGGGCTTCTTGTTCTACCTTCTTAGGAGCTTATCGAGAATAGAAAAACATGTCTCTTTTAATTTCTCTTAATATTTTTATTGGGCATCGTTTCCTTCATAAATGTAAATGGGTGGCTTTTGTTAGGGGGTGGGGTGCTCTTAACCAAGAAAAGTAAACAAAAAGCATATTAGGGGATTGGTTTCCTGTAGTTGCTGCTGCTGCCACTGCTAGCAAGGTGTTGGAGGCTCTGACCTCGTAAAAGCCTTAGCCACTTGTAGCCCCCTATCCCCCATGCTCCTCGTAATTGTTTTACTTTTAACTTTCTCTTTCGATTACTAAATCATTATCTGTTATCCTGGAAATATTAATGCATTACATTTTGATTGATAATGCCTAGTTTAATTTCATTTAAAAATAAAATATGTTTACGAGTGATGAAAAGTTGTAGTTTCAGGGGCTATTCAATAATACAGATGGTAAAGTTTAAAATTCTATCTTTTTAGGGCTGTGAATGAAATAAAACTGTGCACGAATTGCTAAGGCTCAACTCTTTATTGATTCATTTGAGCTTCTTTTTTTTTTTTGGATCGGCAATTTATTTGAGCTTCTTCAGTCAGTTAGTAAGTAGATTCAAGCGCTTCTTGCATTATTACCCCACCGAAATAGGACCAAGCTTGCTTGATAGACTCGTGAACTAGGTGCATTAAATTTGCAATTCTATTTAATTTTTTGACCAATTATGATGGCTATGACTTAGTCACCCATAATGAAAACAGAAGAAAAGTAGAAAAGAAAAAAATTGGACCTGTAAGAATAATACCAATATATAATCATCCGCATCAGAAGCATATATGTTTGGGCTTCCATGTTGACACAGCGCTGCTATGTCTAGCAGCTTTTTCCCATTTTGAACTTTAAAATCTATTTTTTCAATCACCATTCAACAATAGCTTGACAAATGAGAAAATGGCATGTGCATGAGATGACGACATCTTGCCAGCATTGTGACTAGTAGCTAGGTTGAGCTGAAACGGAGTTTTGTGGTTTGTCTTGAGCTTGAAAGAGGGAAACTCTTTGGCTTTGCTTTGCTCACTCACAAATTTAACATTTTCAAAGAAATTGAAATTCTAAAATTTGCTTGTCATACCAGTTGAAAAGTTGTTTTTATGCATAATATAGACTTCCCATTTTCAGGGTTTAAGATGTGATTTTATTACCATTCTGGAGAGAAAATTTGATTTTATTCCCTTTCTCTCTCTTCCTTCTTAATCTCATTTTCCCTGTTTTGGGATGTATAATATTACTGTGACAAATAAGTTTGGTATTAGATATTATAAGAGCTTTGTGTACCCATTTTCTAAAAGCTTAAACTTTTGTTTTGTTTGATTTTCTAATAGCTTCTACATAGTTCTAAATACCCTCTAAAACATTTTGACGCAAAAGACATTTTCGTTTCTTGTTATTTCAGCCTCCCATTGGCATAGAGCGATTTTCTGAATTGGGCAAATGGGAAGAGAGGGAAATCAAGGTGTCCGGAACAAGCTGGGATGTGAACAGCATTGATATTGCGGCAGCCGGCTTAGGTTGGTTTTCTTTGGGTCTGAAAGGTGAAGCGACCTTGACATTGTGGATATATGATGGTATCGAGGTTACTTTGCGAGAGCCTTTAGTCCTCGACCGGGCATCATTTCTTGAGAGACCTGGGTTTTGGCTACCAAAGGCTATATCAGAAGCCATTGGCAGCCAAGCTAAGACTGAAGCTGAAAAGAGGGAAAAGCTTCAAGAGGAGGAGAGTACATTTTCCCTCTCAGAGACATCTGCTTAAGAAAAATGTAGGTGATTAATCTATCTTAGCAACAGTCATTGAGCTTGAAGGTAGATTTCCAAAAAAACTGGAGTGATAGAACAAAAATTGAATTTTGTAGGCTGTCTGTTTGTAGGAAAAGAAATAGGTGCTGGTAACTCCCTCTTCCCCACATCCTCTGGCTTGTCCCCTTGAGCTGTGATTGCCACCCCTAGCTGCTGGTTACCACCTTTGGAGAGTTTACCTCCACCTCCGATCTCCTCCAGTCGGCTCCTTGTTTTCAAAATAGATTTTGGGAAACACGTGTTTACTTTTTTATTTTTGTTTTTTGTTTTTATGCAAAAATAATTATAAACATGTTATTTTGAAAACATGTGTTTACCTTTTTTGTTTTTTGTTTTTTGTTTTATGCAAAAATAATTGTAAACATGTTTAGTGTATAAACGGTACACATTATCAAACAACACCATACAAATATCGATTTTTTAGGATTCACCTCCTCTCCAGCGCTTTACAGTCCGGCTCCCTCCAGCCATTCCACCAGGTGGAGACGCGTGGCGTTTAGTAGATCTGAAGGCACCAAGGAGGCCACGTCTATGGAGTTGCTGAGTTACCAAAACGACACCAAAATTAGTAGTTTTGGGTTAACGGAAGGTGACTAACGGAATGATTCAACACTTATAATAAATAAAATAGATAAATGATTTAATTTTTTATTTTTATTTTTTTTATCTTTTTGAATTGTTTGAACCTACCTCTGTGGGTCAACCATTGGGTCGACCGGTAAAGACAAATTTTTTTTTTTACTTTTTGAATTGTTTGAACCAGGCCAATTTTGCATGCACTGGTCGACCGGTTGGTCAACCGGGTGGTCGACCAAGGGGTCGACCAGGTGGTCATCCAAGTAGTCGACCCGTGTGTAAAATTCTGAAGCTTTTCTGCTTCCCTTAGTCTAAGCCAATCTATTTTATAACAAATCAGATTTCCCTTAGTCTAAGCCAATCTATTTTATAACAATCCAATTGCACAATCTCAGTGAATTCAACTCAACCACATTAGTGTTGTCCTGCAATACATCCTTATAAACAATCTCATACCCGGCTCATCAAATATGCTTATCAACAACAATATCTACAAAATCAACTCTTGCGAGATATTCTTCATTGTCCCAAAAATAAAATTTCATATAAAAAAAAAATCACTTCTACGATTCAATGGACCGTATAGCAATAGAAATATTCACAATCCACATTGGCAATAAACATTCCCAAATTTAATGTTCACAATAAACATTCCCAAATTTAATATTAACAAAAATCTTTCACTTGCAACAATCTTCATCGGTCTTTAAGAATTTCTGGATATATTGGTATAGAGGAATTTCGAATAATGTTTAGATTGGGAACCTATGAAGTAAAAAACATAATCAGAATGAGTTCAAAGCATAGAATTGAAAGATATCCACAATAATTCATGTTGCATACCTGATTGTAATGTGTGCTAGTCGAGCATTGTGATGAGTTAAGCAAAGTAGATCCTTGAAGTAAGGCTTGGAAGTTGGCATATTGAGGCTCTCCATTCCATGTCCAAGGCACTGAATTTGGTACTTCAGCTAATGGTTGCCTCATATGTGGGAGTATATTCGAAGATACATGTACATCCTAGAAATTGAAATTTCTTGAAAAGAACTCGACTAAATTTAAAAATGTAAAGATAAGAACACAAAAAAATAAGTATTACCTGCATTGAAGTTGGTACTTGAATATATGGTGGCATCATATGTGGGAGCATATTTGAAGATGCTTGTACATCCTATCAAGATAAGAACTTAGATGAAACTAAGTAACATAAATTGAAAAATTTAAAGAATGTAAAGATCATAAAAAAAAAAAAAATTAAATAATACCTGAATGCGTTGCTTTTTCTTTCTTGAAGTCTCCAATGCCTTTTCCAAGCTACTTCTAATCCGTCGCCTTCCATGAATGGGGTCAATCCTTTTCTTCAGCCCCTTTGCTTGAATGACATTTTCATTGCCCTCATTCATTCTCATTGTAGAGCTAGCATCATTTAAGTTTAGTGGTCCATTGGTGATACGTATACACAACTTATTTTGAACAAATGCGAGCAATTTTTTCCCTTCCTGAACACAATCTTCATATGTTTCTTCCAATTCAGATGCCTGGGATGAAATCATAGTAAAGAGGGAGCACAATGACTTGTATCTGCTGCTCTGTTCCAACTTAGGGTCAGCTTGAATATCGCGCCCTTTGTAATCTTGGACAATTTCAGCTCTTGCTAATTTGGTCCACCTTTTCAGGATATATTGGCTTGGAATTTCCATTATAATCATTTCATCTTTAAGAACCTTAATAACATGACTACACAATATTCCTTTCATCTCAAACAACCTACAAGAACAAGACAAATTACCATCTTTGTCTTTCTTTACTTCATGCATTGTAGATTGTCGATATGCTTTGACAATATAAACCAAACAATCATCCTTGTGAACACAATTTGCTACGTATAACTCAAGTGAACCCACATATTCATCTTGAAATTCTTCAAAGATAGTTTTTGTGTAAACATCTCTTGCCTGAGTCAACATTAGAACTTGGACTTTTATCCTAGGCAACTTATATGACAATGCATACTCAGCTTCATATTCCTTATATCGCTTCTCATTAAGCACCCTTTCAAAGTGAATGAAAAATTGAATCAAATTGTAATCTGATCTCAAGTACTCTTTCAAATCAGCATTTAAGCTCTCACTAAGTTGTGTGCTCTTCATCCCTGCTGACCATGTCCACCTAACATATGCCCTAACCCATTTTTTCCTTAAATGAAAAATGCTTTGCAGCCATGAATTATCATGAACATCAAACTCATCTAACATAGCATTCCAAGCTGCAAAAAATTCCTCTTCCTCCTCATACTCATCTATAAACTTTCCCAAAACACTTCTTACCCCACCAGGAGCGCTAAAAATGCCACTCATATGTTTTACAGCATTTTGCATCATATGCCATGTGCATAGCCTATGATATGTGTTAGGCATAACATATGAAATAGCCTTAGCCATTGCTGCATCCTGATCTGTGAAAATAGTTTTTGGATGTTTATTTGACATTGCCTCTAAAAAAGTTTTAAACAACCATATAAACGAATCGGTTGTTTCATCATACATCAATGCAGCTCCAAAAACAATGGTCTCTCGGTGGTTATTGAAGCCAACGAAAATAGCAAAAGGGCGGCTGTCTTTATTAATCTTGTATGTTGTGTCAAATGTTACAACATCCCCAAAGTGACCGTAGTCAATTATCATTCTAGCATCTGCCCAAAAAATATTTGTTATTTGCTCTTCAGTATCCAACTGCACAGAATGAAAGAATGAAGGATTTTGTACCGTCTGATCTTGAAAATACTTCAATATGCTCCTTGCTTCACCAAATTCCAACATTCTTTGTCTTTTTGTTGTTAAATAATTCTCTTGTTGTTTTTTCAAAAACCCAACACATTCCCTTCCACCTGCCTCTCTACCCATTAACTCATAGGATGACCTAAGAGGTATCCCACAGTCATCTGCTAAATCTATTTCAATATATTAAGAGGTGGAAATTTTTCTTTGGGAAGGAAGCATATGAGCACATGCACTTACTACAAGGTGATGGTTATGTGTTTCTACAAAATTGATAACTCTATACTTCCCAATTTGCCTAATTAATTTAATGCTCATCAAAGCACCACAACCGGTCCTTGTCTCCGCCCTAGGAATCCTTATAGCAAAATCTCTTTTATCAGATTTTCTAAGACCCTCCTTAGAACAAACAAATGTCCTTGAAGTAATTTCACCGGTTTTACTTTTATGAGCATATTCTTTTCTAATACTAAATCCAACTCTTCCTCCATAAGAATTATAAAATTCATAAGCTGATTGTTCAGAGTCAAATTCCATACCTAATATGGATTTACATTGTGCATCATCCTCGCCATGAACATCCATTTGGGTAGCAATTGTTAAATCATCAATCTCCGATATATCCAATACCTAAAATGCAAAACAGTAAACATAAATATGTAAAAGAAGTACATGGTTTAATGTTCTTAAATGATATTGAGGCTCTGTTTTACACATTAATGTTCTGTTTCATACTATCTACTAAATCAATTTTTTCTTTTTCTAAATATTTTGTGGAAAAATGATTGTCTTCTCTTAAATCAATAGAAAAACTTTACAAAAGTATCTAAAAGCCTAACCTTGATTGATATGACAAATTTGTTTCTGCTTAAGAGTGAAAAAAATCTTTTCAGTGAAATATGAGCATCATATACATACCAGATTTTAGGTGGGTTTTCTAAAATTACTAGATTTATGAGCATCATATATAAATGAGCATATATTAATGAGTTCCCAAATTGACAGACTATTGCTAATCTGTTCAGTGAAATATATAAATGAGATTTATATGTGCTCATTTATAAATGAACATATATAAATAAGCATGAAAACTATTGCTTCTAGATTTTAGGTGGGTTCTCAAACAGACTAGCAAATATATATATATGAGAATCTAACTTCCAGATTTTCACCATGATTCACACCCATGTTTGCAAGTCCATAATTCATTCAGGCATTTCATCATACACTTGGAATGGATTTGAACCCAAAAAAAAAAAAAAAAAAAAAAAAACCGAAAATAAACTACTACAAATCTAACCTTTGGTGTTTACAATTGTTTGGGTAAACAAAGATTTTCAAATGATAGAGTCCAAGGATGGCGAAGCCTTCTACTGTCGATTGATTATAAATGGAAAAAAAATTGAATCATAGATAGGGGACTGGGTTCTGAGAAAGAGAGAGAGAGGGAAGGAGGGATTGGGTTATGAATTTATGAAAAAGGCGGGAGAAGGGATCTGAATCTGGATATGTAATTCAAAATAAAAAAAAAAAAACTTTCTGTTACATACCTCCATCTAGCCAAAACGATAGAACTTGGCGTCGTTTTGTTTGTTCCTTGAGCATCACAGACGTGGCTCCCTTTTCGCCCGTCGGATCCGTTGTCGCCACGCGTCTCCATCTGGTGGAATGGCTGGAGGGAGCCGGACTTTAAAGCGCTGGAGAGGAGGTGAATCCAATTTTTTAATATTGCAATGACATGTATTTCTCTGATTATGTAACTGTGGGAAATTAATCTATAATGATTATCTATATTTAACTTTTCTATATATATGGAGAGATAAATATATGAACTATACTGGTACATAGATGAAATTTAGATTGTTCTTAAAGCTTCAAGTGTAACAGGTTTGTTATACTCTAGTTGAGAGATTTAATGTTTGTTCTTTTATCTATGTTTTGATGATTTGTAATGAGGCTAAAAGAAGTCTTATGTGTATG